CATCAAATCATCCAGGCATCCCCTGGGCAACGTCCTTGCAGACGGCCAGTTCTCTCACACCAGAAGCGACTTGCAGTTTCTCAAGTCGCTCCTGACACAACAAAAAAAATCCCCATTCAAGCAGTCAAAACAACACATGAGGTTACAATCTGTAGGAGCTATTATGTGTAGAAATGCTTAGGTTTCCCTTTCTTTCATATGTCTTAGGGTAAATGGCTTAGGACCTGAGTATATTTAACATGGATAGGAGGAATTTAAGAGGTGACATGATAGTTATGTTTAAATATTTGAAGGGATTTTATATTGAGGATGAAGCCAGCTTGTTTTATGCTGTTCCAGACACTAGAACATGGAGCAATTTATTAAAACAACAGAAAAAGACATTCCACTTAAACATTAAGAAAAGCTTCCTGATGGTAAGAGCTGCAATAGAGTATGGTGGAGTCTCCTTCTCTGGAAGTTTTTAAACAGAGGCTAGATGAGTGTTTTGATTGTGTGGTGCTTATGATCTCTTCTATGATAATACATATGGTTCAAACTCAACAGACCATTCGGAATAACACTCCATGATGTAGCAACCCTTATCCCTCCACTCTTAAGACATTAAACATAGTATGAAGGTCAGGTAGAAAACTATAAGTTTGGGTAGACTTCCAAGTAGATTTGGCTGAACACACTTAGATGTTTCCTTCATGGCTTTTCACTCATTATACAAAATTTAGCTATGGAGAGAGTGGCCTGGATGTCTACAGCTATGTTCTTTTCAATGACTTGAGTGAGTGTTTGTGGCACAGCTCTATGAAGGAGAACCTTGCTCAATTCCTCACTCAACTACTGTAGCATGCTATGACATCTTAATGACTGCTGTCAGTAGAACCATGGCATCCCAATGGTACACTTGAATGCATTCCTTGGTGTTTAAACCATTTGCTTCTGGGGCAGATAATTAAGTGCTATATCTAATTGTTAGTTGTCCTTCCACCAAAGCAGAATAATTGAACACAATAGAACACATATAAATGTTGGTTCATTTTTAGGAATAAATACTAATTGTTAATAATAATAACAATTGAAAGAATCTTACTCTATTTGATGAATAGTATTTCTGCACAGAAACAAAACACAAAACTGTTTTCTGTACAGAAAATGTCGATTTTTATCCAAAAAAATTCATGTGTATTTTTTGAAAAATAGGTCCCAAATTGCAAATATCATCAGCCAGCTGAATCTCCTGATAGTCAAAAAATGTGTTTTTAAAATAGTTTTAAACTATTTTCAAGTGTGCTTTTCTGTCCCTAGTTGTAAGCAATAGATGAGCACAATTTGTGGCTCACAATGCTAAATCTAACCAGCAATCATTGCTGAACCTGGTGGGCTATTTTCAACACATTAGCTCACCAATCCTCAACCAATAGATGATACCAAATGAGACCTCAACCAATGGCTGATACCAAATGAGAGACTCCCCCCTGGGCACACAGAAGACTGGGCGACTTGGAAGGTGCTGAACAGACTGTGCTCTGGCACCACGAGATGCAGAGCCAATCTTAAGAAATGGGGCTACAAAGTGGAATCCATGACATGCGAGTGTGGAGAAGAGCAAACCGCTGACCACCTGCTACAATGCAACCTGAGCCCTGCTACATGCACAATGAAGGACCTCCTTGCGGCAACACCAGAGGCACTAAGTGGCCAGATACTGGTCAAAGGACATTGAATCAACTACCAAGCTTGCAAACTTTGTGTTTTGTCTGTTTGATTGTTTTGTTCTGTTAGAAATGTAATGCAATTGTCTGGTTGCCCATGACATGATAAATAAATAAGCTAACAAATTTTGGAGATTAACAGGCCTCTTATAGAATGTATTGTCGAAGGCTTTCATGGCTGGAATCACTAGGTTCTTGTGGGTTTTTTCGGGCTATAGAGCCATGTTCTAGAGGCATTTCTCCTGACGTTTCGCCTGCATCTATGGCAAGCATCTCAACCTCTGAGGATGCTTGCCATAGATGCAGGCGAAACGTCAGGAGAAATGCCTCTAGAACATGGCTCTATAGCCCGAAAAAACCCACAAGAACCTACTCTTATAGAATGTTGAAATATTAATTTAATTAGAATTTTGGCCTTAATGTTTCCAAATTTTTCAAGCCTTTGGTTGGTTTCTGATGTTTGTGTATTAGCTTCATAAACTGACATATGAAGGATTTCATGTTCTGTGTCTTCACACTTCCTTTCCCCACTTTTTTCTCACTGCATTGCTTCTGAAAGCTAACTGTTTTAAGCAATCACTATTTCATAACACTGAAGATGGATGCCTAAGTGAAGAAATGTGCCAGATAGGGAACAAAGCATGAAATCATGGTTTGAGGTTGATGAAAGATCCTAGGTGCTCTAATCCTTGTAGAGAACGTATCCTATTAATACAAATAGGAAACAATAATATATTAATCCAGGAAAGTCTTCAGTTGTACCACCTGTAGAAAGAAGCAAGGAAGGAAGGTAAGGAGGATGAAACATGATGGTAGAGGACACAAAAGATATGCATATCTTTGTCTAGTAGTACATAACATAATATTCAGTTAAGGGTAAGGATCCTTTGACCGTCCAAAGGAAATTTTGTGTAAAGAGAAAGGGCACTTCTTTGCAACACCTGTCCCCATGTCACTGCTCAGTCCCTGAAAGAAAAGTTTCTTTTGAATTCTATCCTTCTGTTTGATTTTTGACAAGCTGTCAACTGCTTGCTGACATCCTATCTGCCAGAGTAGATCAAAGCAGACACAGTGTACACCTTGTGCACAGCTTCCAACAAAAGAACACAATTGGCCTTTAAAGATGTAAAGTGTGACAAGCACACATCAGCCTGCCTTTAAGAGTTTGGATATGTAAATCAACATTTTGAAAGATGTTGTCCAGACCCTTCACTGTGGCTTTTGCAGAACACAGTGAAGCAGCTGTCGTAGATTTAAATGTCATGCTTTGAAGTGATGTGCTCTAAGGTGGGTGCACAATTCTTTTTAAAAGCACATTTTAAGCACATGTAGCATAGTGGAAGATTATTGCAAAAGAATATAACCTTGAAAGAATAATCCTGCAACTGAATACTGCTGTAGTTGTACATATTTTTTCCTTAGTCCTATTATTTTCCAGCTTGTAGCAGCTTTAGCAAGGTAAAAAAAAATAAAGGGATAAAATAAAATCAACATCCCCATCTCTGGCCTGATATGTGTGACATATGTGTGTGTATATATATAGATCATGGGAAATCTTGATATCAGTCTATTCTGCTTTGGTCAGACCTCACTTTCTGGGACTCACAATTCACAGAGGTTATTGACGAGTTGGAATATGCCTAGAGAAGGGAAACCAAAATAGTAAAAGATCTGGAAGTCAAACGATATCAGGAATAGTTTAGGGAGCTTACAGAAAAGAAAGTGAAGAGAAGACATGATAGCCATGTTTAAAGCTTTGAAGGGTGTCTTACTTAGGAAGGCCTTCCCTGTAGTTCGCTAACTACAGACTAACTGTTTTAAAATGGCTGCCCTGCCAAGTGGCAGTTGGCTCCACCCCTTTTTCCATGGCAACCCAGCTTAAAGTGAGTTGAGCTGGCTACCATCCCCCCCCCCCCAGTTATGCTAGTTTAGATACTTAACCTTTTAAACACCCATCTATTATTATACATAACTGTAGATTAAAACTCACACTTCACCACAATACCCATCAACGTCTCTGGCCAATATGTGGGGATACGCTGGAAAGCTGGATATTGCCCTGCACAGGAAGACTTGTCTTGTGAGGGGGTACTGTATACCTCCTTCCACAATGCCTACAACATGTCATATGCTGATATAAACCCAAATTATACCAGAGTACATCAGCATTACAGGATTGCAGGATTAAAGCATTATTTCTATAACCAGGTGATTTTGAGGGAAAATATCTTTACCTGTATTCCTCAACATTTCATAATTTTGCTCTCACTTTTTTGAGTTACTAGATTTCACTACAATATGCTTTCTAAGCATTTGAGACATTGAACCACATCCATAATTAGGTTACATTAGGATGGATTACTGGCCACACTGACACACACCTCATGCAGTACTTCTAGAAGGAATGTCCCTTCATTGCTGCATTGCTGTGCTTCTACTTTCTCTAAGTTGGATTGCATATTTTGTGGGGAAATTCAATGTATCTGAAGCTTTATGAGGCATGACATTATTTTGAAAAATGCACTATAAATCCATTCTCACATTTTAACATGATGAACCCATAGTCTGTGCCTATGCTTGTTCCAAACTAGCATGAAATGAAATTGCATAGCTACAGCACTTCAGATTGGTTTGGAACATTAGCATTCAAGCTTTATACCCAGGAAAAGCATCCATCAGCACACCTAGTTTTGCATTGCTTCCTCATATACTACATTGTATTATATATAATTAAAAGGATATTATTTGTCTATACTACATGGCTGATTTTTCAATTCCACGGTTGGCCTAACAGCCATTTGTGTTTATTTTTCTCAATGATGGTTGACAACATTTCAATAAGTTTCTATATTCATTTGCATGCTCCCTCACACTGCAGACATCTTGAAAATGTCTGAGGATCTTTTTTTGCTTGTTTGGTCTTCTAATTTTCAAACATTTATAGATTTATCTGACCTACATAGGCCTCTCCATAGATTAATATTATCTCTGGGATAGTTGCACTTAGGAAAACATCGACTATATTAATGGCCTCATCTCCAAAGACCCAAAATATCACCAAGGGAAGTTTCTCTGTGGACATACTCTTAAACCTGAAGCAACATTGTGAGTTGGTGAATTCTCCTTATCATGAGATGGTAATGTTGAGGCTCAGATATGAAGCCCCTTTTCTTAATAAGGCAAACCTCAAAACCTCCCTAGTCCCAGTTTTGCAAATAAGGAACCAGAAGGAAGAAGAGATAGAAAAACACAGATTTATTTGCAAATAAGCTGTGGGCAACCATCCTGAAAAGAAGTCAGCTCCCCAAATGAGCTCTTACATGGGTTATTATAGTCTTATGTGATACATACACTTAGCTGAATATTTTATCTCTTCTCAATTCCAGACAGATAGATAGATCGGCTTCTCCCCACACCATTTTGATGGCCATCTTCAGGATGAAGGTCAAATTTCATCTCCAGTGTTTCCTGCATGGAAAGTTTGCTAATTGGATCATGCGTGCACAATTTGCACATGGTTAATTTACACAGAAGACAACATTTCTATACAGGAAATTTGCCAACGCAAACTTCCCATGGATGCCATCTTTCTAGAAAAGCAGCATTCAGGTTTCTGCACACATTCCTTTGAATTGAGTCATGTTTTCAAATGGCTTTGCACTCATTTAGTGGGCAAGTACTGCTCACCATTCTTAATGGCTCTTCCTATTATGGTAGTAAGTTTTCCCAACACATACAAAAAATCATGGACATAACGGGGCTTTCTGAAGCAAATCTGATTCTCTTCATTCTATAATGCTACCCAGCAGTGAGCTCAGTGACAAGAGTTTTTATATATTTTCCCACTCAGAGAGTTTGAGCTTGAGTAGCATATTGAACATAAGAGTAATCTCACCAGATTTCTCCAGCACAACACTTGTAGATGTGGAGTTCACTATCTCTAAAGTGAGATGAGCAAATGTGTTGCCCCCATAGACTGAATGAAACATTTGCTAGGTGTGAGTACAGCTAATACTGGTTGGTATTTGTGCTGGGGATAGCAAGGACTGAAAGAGGATCCAGTTTTCCCACAAACACACACATAATCTTCTCTCTGTTTTTGTTCCTGGAAGCATCTCCCACAGACTTGCACTTACCACATGACTTCAGCTTAATATGCAGATTCTTAAATGCTTTCTCCATCTTCTACACAGAAATATTCATGGGTAGGAATGACACCTGGAATGGGAATGGGGAGATTATTATACTTTCAGCTACTGTAAACAAATTAAATCTATGCTTGAATGCAGAAACTACACATAGGTAAAGCCACTGATATGCCTGATCTACTATAGCTGTGGCCATTGAATCATAGATGTTGACTAACCATTGAACTCTTAAACCATAGGTCAAATGTTTTTGAGACTAACAAGTGGCTTTAGGTGCTATGATATTTTAGGTGTCTGAATGTATTAGGTAACTAATTCTGAAATGTCAAACATTGTTAGGTCATGACAATAGGTTTGTCCCAAATGTTGCCATACTAGGGCAGACTCGCCTAAATTTAAGAAATCTGTCAACCATCACTAATTCATGTTCTTTGGTTTCCCCAAATGTAAAGATGATTAAATTTGTGTCCAACAAATGATTTCACTGAGACTTTGCTAGTCTAAACCAATATATTCTTTTTCATTTGATATTTGTAGATTATCTTTTTAGGTTTAATATGAATTCATATACATTAGAGTTCATGCAAATGATAGTATTTGAAATATTTCTAATTCATAATTGGTCAACTTGGCATATCATTTTCAGGACAGATTTCTACTATATCTAAAGACAACTAAAATCATATAAGTAATCCATTTTTCTCACATTCTTAAAAATGCAGTAGTTTTACAATCAATGTTGTTCAAAAGTCCATTCCAAATACATGCAAGAATTTGTACACAATTTCTCAATCTTGCAAATATCTAGTTTCTTACAATTACCATATATACTCGAGTATAAGCCAACCCGAATATAAGCCGAGGCACTCAATTTTACCACAAAAAACTGGGGAAACATATTGACTCAAGTATAAGATGAGGGTGGGAAATGTAGCAGTTACTGGTAATGCAATTATTGTTTGTTTCATGCATGCCTTGTAGCCTGAAGGTAATTTTATAGCCCACATTGTATAATAAAGGATAATAAAGGGGAAGTCTGGGTTTTATTTTAGCCCCAATCTGGAGGGGCTAATGCCTGCGCCTTCCTCAGTGGCAGCGGAAGGAGCCACAGCAACATGGGAGGAAGATGAGGAAAGGCCTCACTCCCCTCTGAAGAAGGAGAAGTGCAAGGCCTTTCCTCCTCCTACTACTTTGGCCTATGTGTGCTTTCCTTGGCAGTGATGGCAAGGGAAGAAGAGGAAAGGCTTCTGCCACCACTGCCACCAAGGAAGGTCCACACAGGCCAGAGGGAGGCAAGGTCTTTCCTCCTCCTCCCTCATCCCATGTGTGCCTTCCTCGGCAACAGCAGAGGAGGGACACGCAGAAGGGAGAAGGAGGAGCATGAGGCCTTTCTTCCTCTTTCCTTTTCCCACGTGTGCCTTCCATGGTGGTGGTGTTAGCAGAGGAGGGAGCCACCATGGCGAGGGAGGAGGAGGAAGAAAAGCCTTGCTCCCCTCCAAAGAAGGAGAAGCATGAGGCCTTTCCTCCTTCTCCTCTGCTGCTTTGGCTCCCTCCGTTGTCATGGCTCCCTTCACCTCCACCAACAAGGGAAGTGCATGCAGACTGAGGGAAAAGGTCTCACACTTCCCTTTCTTCGGAGGGGAGCGAGGCCTTTTCTCCTCCCTTGTACCATGTGTGCCTTCTGTGGCAGCAGAGGAGGGAGCTGTGGTAGCGAGGGAGGAGGAGGAAAGGCCTCACTCCTCTCCAAAGAAAGAGAAGCATGAGAAGGGTTCGGAGAGTGGAAAGCTGAGCAAGGGGGGAGAGACTGGGGGAAAGTTGTGTCTGGAGAGGGAGAAAGAGAGCTGGGGTGCTCTGAGGAAAGATTAGGGTCCTGGCAGGAAGGAGTGGGGAAAGGCCTCACCTTCCTTCCCACCAGGACCCTCACCCGAGTATTAGCTGAGGGGAACTTTTTCAGCCTGAAAAAAAGGGCTGAAAAACTCAGCTTATATTCAAGTATGCTGTATGTGGTAATAGACTTGTAATAAGCAAGTAGAAAAATAATTTTACTTCTTTCATTATGTAATTGTAACTTTATGTTTAAGTTAACAATTATATGTGTTCACCTTCACTAAATGGTCAGGAAAGGATATCGTTTTTTTTTTGGGGGGGGGGGTCTGTAAATGTTGAAATGACAATGAGATGACAAGGAAGTTTCGTATTAGATATGTATTCTTCCAATAAATAACAGTAGGAATTACCTCCAAGCAACATTTTTAAGAACTATTGCAATAAACACAAACTACTTGGGACCCACTCAGTACCATAATTGGAAGTAATTACCTTTAAAGTAACACTCAGAATCCTGACATTTTCTCTGTAGATAGTTGGGTAGAAAAATTATCTAGAAGTCCACTAGGACCTCTCAGAGAACTACGGCTAACTTAATTGAAGCAATGTAGCATAATTATTTTATGAGAAGCCTTCCGTTGACATTATTGATCCACATCAAATTTGTCAGTGGGTATTTAAACTTTAATTTGATGATGATCTCCTGTCAGAGGATTGTACTTTGTAGATGTAAATTAGGCCATATTATCGTTTCAATGAAGTTTACATTATTCAGTGTGAGGAAGTGCTCTGGGAGGAATAAAGCTGCTCTTCACATATTCCCTTTTTGGGTGACAGCTCCCACTGAGAGTTTCAATCAACGTCAGAAGGAGCAGGGCAAAGTGTCTAAGAATGAGGGTCCCTGAAAGTGTTTGAAGGACTTATTCTAGACAGACCATTCTTACACATTTTAGAGCCATTGAGGCAGCTTGTCTAAGTGTACCACGGGTAGTTGCTTGATTTTCCATTTCACATGATCCTTGAAGAAGGGGCTACTTAAGGAAAATTATTTAGAGCTACTATATAAAATATAAACTATGAATATCAAACCACAAACAGCAAAACTGCAGTCCTTCTCTTCCCCTCAACCTCCCCACACTTTGCTCTTGATTGAGATTTCTATATCCTGAGGCTTTCCTGTAAAGGATATCAACATGCCAGTAGCACACCCTACAGACTCTCAGTGGAATCAACACAAAATTGCTGCAGTGCAATGTATAATTTGTACAGTTTAGTCACACATATTATTACTCTAACAAACAGTGTTACATGCCAGGTGGACTCACTGAAATCTCATTCTTGTGTTTTCACATGGGAAACTACATCCCTCAAAAAAGGTAGGATGCACTGCCACATAATGGACAGAGTTCAGTTAGGGACATCTATCTGTGGCCGTTTCCATCATCCGTGACAATGTTCTTTTCCAGTTACTGTGGAGTAGGTTATTCCCTTCAAAACACCTAAAGCCCTCTTCCTCTGATCTACAGCAATGCTTCAGATGCCACCCTGAAGCATTCTGTGCTTTAGAGTGAGGATGCATCACCCTAGTCAAATATAAAATGTTCACCCCAAGTCTTTCAGGGGTTTTAGCACTGTTGCAAACACTATGTGTCTCACCATGAGGATATTCTTTGATTTTGCTTGCTTGCCATAAAGTGTAGAGTGGCCATGCAGGAAGGTTCAGAGGCTTTCCAATAATCTGGAGATGGAGGGTGCATGGGTAGGTCCACATACGGATGTGCTGAGGGTATGTAGAATTTAGATCACTATCAGAGGAAACACTGTGAGGAACATTTTATTTTTTATTTATTTACTGTATTTTTACCCCACTCTATCACAACACTGAAGGGGTTTTAGAACAACTTCCAATCCGGCAATAATTCCATGCCGCATTAAGACATAAAAACACACAAAATAAATTGTGTGTTAAAATCATAAACCAGTAACATAATACATCTAAATAAGCAATTAAAAACATAACTCATAGTCCCAAAATCACCTTGATCACCTTCCCTGTGTTTTGTTGAATGTATTTATGAAAGGAATGAGATCATGTCCACCCACAACCATAGATTCCACATCTGTCTCATATGCATATTTGGTAGAAAGTTTCATAAATTGCCCCTACAAAATATGCATTTTGAAGCTTTTTCTGCTTGAAGAAATCCTGCTTCATCAAGATTTTATAAGGATATGCATCATGAGATACTTGCAGATTCTTTAACAACCTTATCAGACAGGCCAGAGGAAGCATCCCATTTCACATGACTTCTGACAAGGAAAGAGGGAGCAGTGGGGAAAATCTGTTGCCCTGCGCACCACTCTCTCTAGTGACACTTTCCCTATCACATGGGGAAAGTGTTGTCCTCATGGGAAAGATTCCTGTATTGGGATGAAAGCATCCAGTGACACTTTTCACCCCAGCTGGGGGTAGGGTCTACACCAGAAGTCACACACTTGTCCCTTTCCTTTTCCTACCCCCTGCTGTCCTTTTCCCTAAGCCCCTATCCCTACCCTCCCCTTTCCCTAAGACCCTTCTCCCCCCTTTTCCTCTTCCCTGTTTTTATGTATTATACATTTTTCAATTTAAAAAATAAACAAGCAAAATTCAATAGTCCGGGTAGATAAAAGTTTAGTCATCTTTTTGGAAAGGTAGAGGAGAAAACCAGATCTGGCTACTAATCTGGATTAAGACCAAGAAGGAATCTTCTACACTTCACTTCACTTTATTTCTTAATTAGTCGCTCTCCACCAAGGTACTCTGAGCGACTTACAGTCTAAAATAGCATTTACACAATATAAAAACATTCAACATAAAAACATTCAACAGTGACTATTTGGCAAATTAGATCTGATTACTTAAATGCACAACCAAACAGACAAGTCTTGAGTGCTTTTACAAAAGGTCGCAACTCCGACATTGCTCTAATGTATGGAGGCAAAGAGTTCCACAGAATTGGAGCATAGGTCGGAAAAGCTCTACACCTTGTAGCTTCCAGGTGTACCTCCCTAGGGCCCGGTATATATAGGAGATTTTCCTGGGTGGATCGAGGTGACCACTGATGGAGAAAAGGAATGAGGTGGTCCCTAAGATATAAAGGAGCTTCATAATGACCTCAGTGTCACGTCACAGCAGGAATGGATAAATAGAGACCCTGGAGCTACAAGCATTGTTGTGGTTCTTTGTGCTTTCAGATTTCCCAA